GTAACGTAGTTTGAGCCAAATTTTAGGTATCGCAAAATTTAAAAAAAATTTCTGTGAGGCAATCAGCGTTTCTGACTTCCCTTTTGCCACTTGCCTATACTTATAAAAATAACCCCAAAATGATCGCTCACGAAACAAAAAATTATTTGCTGCATGATTTTCCCATTTTAAAATTGTACAAAAAAAATTACATAAATTTAATTAGAGACAACATGTTTACTTTCATTGATTGATTTTCAATCGATAGAAAGCTGAGAAGGTATTAATTTTACTATGATGTGTTTTTTTTTTGTCTGTTACCACTTTTTCTCAAATGTAACCGAATCAATTTCTTTCAACGATAAGTCAAAAGATCACAAATCGTATCCAGTCGAAGACATTTCCTCAAAAATTGAAAAAGTCTCCAAAAAATTACAAATTTAAAAATCGCTAATTTTTGAAATTTATTCAATTTTTGTTAATTAAATTTTTTTTAAAATGACCAAATCAATATAATTTTTTTTTTTTAGATACATTAGGTATTTACCTATCATTTTGTGTATTTTTTTATAAATCTGACACTTTACCTGCCCACATAGGGGGAATAAAAACTGACAACTTCACAAAAAATTAACTTTTCAACTTAATTTTTGAAAGTGTTCCAGAAAGTCTGATAATATTATATATATATTAAATTATTGCTTATGTAATATACTTTAATATGAAAAAAAAATTGACATCTAGACTTGTTTTCATGGTGAAATGGCTACTGTATTCAAAAATATGCTATTTTTGTTTTATAATTCTCGGTTTTTTTAATAATTAGTAATAATATCAAAATTTAGAAGTGAAAAAAAAGTCTAATTTTAGATTTGAATACAGTGTAAAAAGTTCATTTAGAGAAAAACACATTTGTTTTTTTGTTTTCTTATCAATCATATTTATGTCTTTGAAAATACCCACAACAAAAAAATGATTTTCAAGAAATTATTTCGTAAACGGCATTTTCTTATAAGAATAAACTTCCTTTATTGTTAAATATTATTTTTTCTAGTGTAAATGAATAAAACATTATTATTTCATGTGGATAATGATGCTAAGCTAAAAAATGTGTATAACATCAGAAAATATAATATCAACCATTTGCATATAGTGACTATTAAATTTTGTAAAAACAAATTCAGAAATTTTAAGTTGGTAAAGTAATTATGAAAATAAAAGCTATTTAAAACTGCGTCTTTAACTATTTTTATAAGTAATTCTTTATGAGATTACACTTGTTCAAATAAATTTTTTTTTATCTATCCATACCAGCTTATATTAATTTGTAGAAAATTCTATGTAAAATTATAAAAAATGACCTCTAATATTTAAGTATTTGACTAACTTTATAACTTCAAATTTTAAATAAATTTTTCATGTATGACAAAATATTTAATTCTATATTTATGAGGCGTAGTGATGTTTGGTGTGGCGCAGTGGATCATTCAGTCGCCACCTTAGCGTTGATGTTCATCTACGCTGTTTGCAATTAATTCCCAGTTGGATAATTACACGGAAACTTTAACAATGAACTCAAACAGAAATAAATTATTTCATTTGAATATTTTTTTAGATTTAATACTATATCGTTATCTAGTGTGATTTATAATAAAAAAACTGTATTTGGTATTTTAATTCCATGCCTTTGAAAAATGATAAAGCATTATACTTTATTTAAATACAATTTATAAAAGACAGTTTATACAATAGGAATATTGTCTATTAATATTTTTAAAAAATGAAAGAATATTTTATTTTATAATAACAATATGTTTAGTGAATAATAGTTTTCACTATAGATTTTTTAACATTTTAAAATAGCAAAAGAAATTAGTAATATAAAATTTCAAGCTAATTAAAAAATGATTCAATAATACGTTTTATTTTGTATGTTATTATGTTTTCTCGACATAATTCACTTTGGAGTGATCTAATATTATCTCAACCAAACTCCTATGTGATAGTTGAAGGGGTTCAATATAAACTCAGTGAATTATTTGAAAGAGATTCAAATAACAATATTGTGAATATAACAAATGATAAACGATAAAGTGAAACGAAATGATCCATCTGAGATTAACGCCGCGGCTTGTTCGTTAAATTTGGATGTTTTACCTGGAGAAACTATAATTTTCTGTCTCAGGAAGCCACTAGAAAAAAGGAAAATCGATTTTGAGGATGCTTTTAATGCTATTGGATTTGAATTTAATGAAGATTTAAAAATATTTCTATTTTCAGACGATTAAGGAAAAACACATTCATGATTTACCAACCCAAGAATGTTGCGCGCCAATATACTTATAACTTATAATGATTAATTTTCTTTATTTTTTCGAAATATAATAAAAAAATTTCTCCTGCTCTATCAATGGATATTAAATGAAGCAGCAATTGTTACTTCCTTCTTATTGTTCACATCGTACACAAAATAAAACGTGTTAATCGGATGTAAATTTATCTTTCAACCCAAAAACTTAACTTTGTAGCCGATTAACACATAGTTTTTCGCGGGGAAAACTAAAACACATATTATTTACTCAATATATTTTCTGAGCATAATATACTGAAGCTAATCTTTTTTTCAAATACAAAATAGAAATTTTTTTTTTTTTATTATTATTAAAAATACTAATATTCATCAAAATTAAAAAAATATGCGAAATAAACGTAGAAATAGCAATATATTTATCAATATAAAATTACATATTTGAACTCATTGTATTCTGAAACGTATTTATATATTTCTCTGCTATGTTTTACAATGTCCAGTAAATATATACAAATAGTATAAGTCCCTAAGCCTAATAATATTATTAGCTACTTAGTACTCATTACATCTTAATAATAAAAAAGTAACAAAATTAATAAATATCATCAAAAGGGATTAATAAAATCTAAAAATAATAATTCTTCTATAAATTTTAAAACTTGTTATCTCGACCTATTTCAATTTATTAATAAGAAATTATCATATAGAAAAATTAATTTTCTCAGAAACTCAGAAACAGAAGTTTAATTTTTATGAAGAACAAAATTATATGTTTTAAAAAACAAAATATGTGGTTACATAATTTTTCTTCGTCCCTTCAAAGTTTAAAACCTTAAATTAAATTTTCTTAAATAAGATTTTCTATTATTAATTTAATAATATGATAGAAAAAACATTATTTTGAAACATTGAGCGCAAGAAGGTATTGTTTGTAAAAATATATGTGAATTCCACCCGTGCTACATACCCACTCAATATATTTAAATCCTTTTAACTTAATAAATATTTGTCCTAAAATTGTTATCGATTAATTAAATATTTTTGAAAAAGAAATCTAAAAAATGATTAATTCAAAATTAAAAAAAAAAAATACTTTTATTGTATTTTTTAAAGTAATAAAATAAATCCCTAATAAAAAAAATAATAATCCCATTAATTATATTTGAAGGAAAAGTTCTAAAAACTGTCTATTTTAAAATTTAAAATTAAATAAAAATATTGTTTAATATTTTCATTAAACAAATAATAAAAATATGATTTAATGAATTCTAAGTTTGCATAAATTATTTTTAAAAATATTGCAGTGAAATGTTAATTGTATTAAAAATTATAGAATTTATCACTTAGATCTGTTCCATTCTGTATATTTTTCAAAAGCATATAATTGTTGTATTATTATAATGATTGACTTCTTAATTGGTAATCATATCTAAAATGATAAATACGTATACTACTGGGGACCACTAAACAAATATTTAAATAAAAATTGTACTATACAAAAATGGTGATGCTTTATTCTCTTCGTGAGTATTTTGTAACTAACAAAAAAAAAACAATATGTAAAAATTGTGGTTTAACTTGTTAAAAATAACAAAAATGTAAAATTTTACATCGGTGTTAAGGAACATTTTAATCTTACTCTTATGTTTTAAACAAGTTTTTTTTTAAACGTGTTTTTTTAAAAATCTGATCAAAATTAACAACATAACCAAATCAGAATGAATCAGATGTTTTTGTGTGAACAGCTTATCTCTCATAGTAGAACAATCGTCTGTGCTTAAGTTTTTCAATGAATTTTCATAAAAAGTATAAGAAAAGATATCTTGATATCACTTGTATTAACTATATAAATTTCATTAAAAACTGTATTTAATAAATAATTTTAAAACGCAAGGAAAAAATTGTAAAATTCTTTTTTTAACGGTTGGGTAATTTTGAGATTTTTCTGAATTTAAAAGGTAGTTTTTTCGGGAGCAATTCATTCAAATAGATTAATATTGGATTAGTTTGATATGAAGCTTAACAAAATCGGTCCAATGAGAATTAAGAATTCATTGACATGCAACTTAGTTAAAAGGACGGAATCTTGAAATTAAATTAAAATCTGTTAAGTGGAAACGCAAAATGATTTATAATTTAAGAAGTGATATTGGTATTTTCATATTTACTAACAAATATTACTAGTTTACACTAATGTAAATAAAAAATTGTTATACATATTATATATCTAAAAATATTATAAATAAAAAAATAATAATTTTTTTGAATAATTATTTTACAATATGGGACTTAAATTCAGAATATTGCAGCTAAAAATTCTTTCAGCACAGTGGCATCGATATGAGAGGGGAGCATACCCTCACAGTAATGTAACAAAATTACATGCATTGATTTATGGAAATTATTTTTTGGAAGGAAGAAATTAAATTAAATCCCTCAAAAAATTGACCACTTATGCCTATGGTTCAAATTTAGATAACTTCATAACTTAGAGAATAAAACTAAAAATAATATCTCATTCTTTTTCTTCTTCAATTTCCTCGCCTTAATCCCAACTACTTGAGTTCGGCCACCCTTATCCTAAAATAATATCTCATTAGAAATTAAATAAAATTTATAATTAATAGCCGTTTTATTTGTATTTATTAAAATAAGTAGTTTTATTTCACAAAGATTTCTTAAGAATTTTTCAATACAATAATTGAACATGGAGTTTTCTTAATAATAATAAATGCTATTTAATAGATACATAAAATAGTAATACTTAAAAAAACAACAACTTAAAATTACTGATCTTATTTAATTTGATAATTGAAAAAAATTATTGTTAAAACAATAAATTATGAAACTTACAAAATAAATATGGAACAAACAAAAAATAATATTAAAAAATGTAAAATGTAAAAGTTTCAATAAATAAGTTATATAAATTTTAAACACAAAAAATAGATATAGTATGATCGATTGGTTATTTTTGTCAATCTGATTTTTACACTTTTCTCTTAGTAGAATCTAACAAACTTAAAATTACAATATATAACTATTTTAGTAATGGATACATTCCTTGTTAAATAAAATTTCTAAAATATACATTCAGTGATATTTATAGAAAACATTTTGTGTAAGCTGAATCCTTTATGTTAAACTTTACTATTCTTAAATATAAGTTTCTTGTAGAATAAGTTACATAAATTAATTTTTAAACATATCTAGTCTTACACAGTAGATATAAGTATATTTATATTATATTAAATAATTTATCAGATAATTATTTCCCATGTTTATTTCTCATATGTCTCCAATAATTGCCACTACTAGAGAAAGAAAGGACACACTTATTACATTTGTACATTTTATTAGCTTTACTTGAATGACACTTTTTATGTGATATTAATAATTTAAAATTATTGTATACTCTGGAACAAATTTCACATTTGTATTGTCTTTTGATGTATTTTTTATTGCTTGAAGATTTTTTTGGGAGTGAATTACTTACAGGTTTTTGTATAGAATTAGAAACATGATAATCTAAAATGTGCATTCCTAAAGCAGCATTTGTATCAAATTTTTGACCACAATCTTTACATTCATAAACTTCATTGACCGAGTTCTTTTTATGAGTTTTTTTATGGTTTTTCAAAGAATTTAAATAAATGAACTTCTTACCACATTCCCCACAACTGTGATTTAGATCAATATTTTTACTTGCGGGTTCAATTTCACGTTGTTTCCAATTTTTAAAATGAATAGGCGATTTTTCTTTATTAATTGAAGATTTTTTTTCTTTGTTTTTTATATCAGTGTTATCTTTAAGTTCTGGATGTTTTCTTGATCTATGCTTCAAAAAAGTATTTCTGGAATTGAAAATCATACCACATAACTCACAGTGAGATTTTTTTATGTTTGCAGTTATTATAACTTTAGATTTTCTAGTAATTAAAGCTCTTTTACTGGATTTTACTGTATGTTTGACACCGTTTTTTTCAATTAAATTATGAATATTTCTACGATGAGCCCAATAATTAGAAGAACAACTATAAGATCCATTACAGATATCACAAATCCATTGCTGTGATTTTAAAAAGCGTTTTTCAGCTTCTTTTGTAGCAAATTCAGGCATATTACGGTTACAGTGACGTCTGCACTCTTTACTTTTCAACAAGTGACTATGCCAGTAACTTATTTTCTTATATCCATTCTTACAATGACGACATTTATACATAATATTACTACTATTTAGAACAGGTTTTGCTCTATGTTTTGAAGTAGGTTTAGAGTTAGTCATATAATAATAACAGTTCTCTTTTTGATTTTTAGAACTATGTGTTATTAAATGTCTCCTCCAGTTATACAACCAAGTAAATAATTTTCCACAAATAGAACACTTACAAGGTTTAATATCAGGGTGAGTACTTTTTCTATGATCAAATAATTGCAAAGGATTAGAATAATTTTCATCACAAACATCACAAACAAATACAGAACAATTTTTTATCAATATTTTATTAAAGTTTTCTGAAGTATTCATAGTTGGATTATAATTGGTCGTTTTTGGTACATCAATAGTTGTACTTGTGTATTCATATTTCAAGTTACTGAGATGCGTTTTTTCATGACGTCCTCTATTTCCTGAGTTTTTGAAAGTCATTTCACAATAACGGCATTTATAAGGCCTTAAACCAACATGATAAGTCATATGTTTTTTTAAAGAGTATAAATTTTCAAATGTCTTATTACACTTAGGACATATTATTGATTTATCTTCAAATACAACTTTGTTTATTGTATGAATATCAGTAGAAATTAAATTTGCTTCTTCGGTACTATCAGGATTGCTTATGACATTTTTGTTTTGAACAACCTCCTCGAACTTATTTGTATCATGTGAATTTGATGAATTTGCAAAATGAGTGTGGGATTTTTCATGGTTAGTGCAGCATCCTTTAGAAGAGAAAGTCTGGCTACAATACCTACATTCAAATAACTTAACAATAACTTTTGGGGGTACGAGTTCATTATTTGAGTGTATAGATAAAGTTTTGTCTAGACTAGTACAAGATCTTTTAGGTCTTATGCTTTTAATGACAGTTGAATCATTAGTTGAACTAGTAGCAATTATTTCATTTTTTACTTCTATACTATTAAGAATATTGTTATTAGCAATCAAATCAACATCATGATTCATTCTGTTCAAATTTTCCATAAGTTTTGAAACTGATTTTTTTAAAATGTTATGTTTACCATATTGATGTCTAAATAAATTTGATTGACAACTAAAAGCTGAATCACATAAGTTACATTGAAAAGGTTTAAATCCTGTATGTGATCTGTGATGAATAAACATTTGAAACCAATTTCTATTTCTTTTACCACATATTTCACAAACAATAAGTAAACTATTGTTTGGTTTAATTGAATTTGAATTATTGGACAATTTAAAATTTTGTTTGTGATATTCCATGTGTTGTTTTAGCTCTAAATCAGAATGAAATTGAATCTCACATCCAATACATTCCAAAGGTCTAGCTTTGCATAATGTTGAATGATAGCTCAAATGTAAAGCATAGCCATGTTTACAAAAGAACGGTTCTTTACAAAGAGTGCATTCAAAGGTTGGTAAAGATTTAGGTTTGACCTTTTCAACATTAGACGATACTGATGAATTTATATTATTTTCAGTTTTAATATTTGATTTATTAAATAAACCATCAAAAACCAAATATGAGCAAGCATCATTTTTTTGTTCTTCATCTTCTTGTTTAACTACTTTACTAAAAGTTTTATTTTGATCAGATTCACTACAAGAATTATTAATAAATTCTAGTTGGTTATTACTTGAGTTATTAGCATTAAAAGTTTCATTCTCTGATAAACAAATATTATCATTAGATAAACTATTTTTATGAAAGTTAAAATGTTGGAAGTGTTTTGTTACTTTATTATGATTTAATCTCACATGTCTTAATAGATGTCTTTTTAAAAAAAAAGACTCATGACAAAATTTGCATTTATGTGGTTTTATATTTAAATGTTTTCTGGAATGAAGTTTTAAATAATGTGGCGTGGTGCATATTTTATTACATACATTACACTTGTTTTCAATATTTATTTCTGTATTTTTTGATGCACTTTTAAACTTTTCCCAAATATTTATGAATTTTTTTGTACAATGTTCTAAATGACAATTCAAATAACTTTCATCGCTAAATTTAATATTACAGTTTTTACATTTGAATATTTTATTGTTTCCATGAGCTTGTTGCATATGAATCATTAGATCATTATTTGAAAAATTCTCTAAACATATTTGGCATTGTTTTTTCATATGAGAGTTTTGATGGGTAGACATATGTTGTTTCAAATCATTTTCAATTAAAAATTCTTTACTACATACATTACACGAATGACAAGATTGTAATTTACTCTGCCATACTCCATTAGTTTTCTGTAATTTTATACTTAAATTACTAGAGCTTTTATTATCTTTTTTTACTTCATTGTGTACTGATTTCATATGTTGATCAGTTTCTATTTCAGTTTCAAAATATAAATCACAATTGACACATTTATTTTGTTGAGGGTGACATTTTTTTATATGTCTATTAAGACCAAAATTTAACTTGAAATTTTCACCACATACATCACAATTAAAAGGTTTTTGAGAGCTTCCTGAATTTTTTGTATTTTGATCTGATGGCTAAACAAAAAAATAAATAATATTTGAATCCATACACTATTTAAGAACAAGGCCAAATTTAATTCATGTGCAGGGTTGAGATGTGACACTGGATAAAATACTAGCCTTGAAATTATCATTAGAAAATGTGAATTTCATGCATTGATAACTTCTTTATTTTTTTAGTGTATTATTTTTTTAAATGGTAAGCGCAATAAAAAAATTTGGTGATGATATTTAGCAACCTAGCTAGAGATTTTCCGGGTATCCGGTTTGGTTAGACAAATACTCAGTCTCCATTATAAAATTAAAGCAGACTACAGTATTGTTTTTAAACATTTTATTAGATGGCTTTTAGTCTGTATTTTTATCCTGAACAACTAACTCTGGCTACACAATTTCTAAATATAGGCCTATCAAAAATGATTAATATATTGTATTAAATATTATGTTTTTTAAGTAAAAAAATGCTTATATTCTAAATTATTATAAAGACACAGAACTTTGTTTATTAAAAAAAACACAATTGTAGAATCGTTTTATAAAATAAAAATAATATGGATAATTCTGTTTGCTAAGTAAGAGATCAACTTAGCAATTGACGTTCTGTACCTTTATTAAACAACAATTATGGACCACGTGTAATAAAAATCTGAAATAAAAACATTCTGACACAAATTTTTATCTATCTAGAATAATTTCAATAGACATATTAGTGTAGTCATTAAAGAACAATATTTTTATTTTACTTAGACTCCTCTGAAATTTATATTGATGCTAATAAAAATACATTGTGCAAAATTTGAATCTAATAAGTCAATGTTAATACATTCTTCACAACCTCAAAATTGAAAAAAAATGTCTTAAAAAAAGTTGAAATCTTCACAATTTTTTTTTTAATCAACTTATTATGACAATCATAATAAAACCTATAATTCAGAAATATTATGAAGATTTCAAAAATATATATGTACAATTTTCAACTATAAATTTTTATTTGAACTAATTCAATTAAAATGTAAGTTCTATAAAAAGACTTCTACTTAGAGAAATTTAATTGTTTTTACCGGTATTTTTTTAATATATGAGTATGCTATTAAAAAATAATGATTAAAAAAAAATAGAAGAAATTAAAAAAAAATCATTTAATCATTTAAATCAAATTACCCCATATTTTTAGTTTTGGCATGGCACTGGTAAACACTACCCTAGAAGTAAATAATTTTTTAAAATAATAACATTTTAATATAATTTTGAAGTAATAAAATTTACAAACTTTTTTATGTATCTATAAAAAAATTACTTAAAAACTTTAAAATAAATTATTTTGCATCCTTAATTAAGAATTAAATAACTAATTACACTATGTAAATATTAATTATACCATTGTTTCCAACAACAAAAAGTACACTACATTGAATAATATACAATAAAAATTGATCACTTATGGCTAATAATATTTAAAATTATATTAAAAATATTTATTTAAGACTAAAAAATATTTTTAATAATTTATTAATAGCATAACAGCATATTTTAACATACAAAGTAGGTGGTATTAGTGCAGCCTATTAAAAAATTGTTACCACGTAGTGTTTAATGGATGTGCGTTTATTAATAAAATAAAATAAGTTAGAGCCATTACAATGTCCCTCTATTAATTCTTCTTTTTAAATATTATTGGGAACCCATCAACTTCATGATTTAAAAACTGATTTCGTACAATTTTTTTATACATTCATAGTTAAATAAAAATAGTAAAAATTATAAATTGTCTAAGGGTAGCTAATGACCTAAATTATTTATAGAAATAATTTGCTTACTTTCTTGCCAGTCACAATACTGATTTAGCTAAATACTCAGTGATAGAACCTAGAAATTTATATAGAAATTTTGAATTTATATATTTTTTTACTATTAATACCAATTATGCTGAGTAGTTTTTGATTTATGAGTAGTAAAATCGTAATTATAAAACAAATAGAAAAAAAATTATGGTGAAAATCTCAATTATTTAAAAAAAAAAAAAATTGTATTTTTACTCGACTTAAGAAGCTTGAGACATATGTTTATAGTTCTCAAATTTTCAATAGTACATTTTTAAAAGCATCAATACAAATTTAAGGCTAATTTGAGGTAAAATTATGTTTAATAATCATCCTAATATATATAAATTACTACTATGAATATCGACCTAAATTTCTAAGTCCTAGATTAAAACATTATTATAAAGGATTTTCTATGGTATTTGACAAGTAATTCTAATATTCAACATTAAACTTTTATCAATAGATTAATATACTATTAAGTATTTAATACAGTAATTGATAATATAAAATATAACACAAAACAATGAATTTTTTCTGCATAATGAAGCTAATAGATAATAAAATCAATATTTTATACCTGAATATGATATTCTGTAGTATTATGTAATAAAAGATCATTGTTTTGAAGTGGTGTTTCTTTTGATATTTCCAAAAAACTTTGCCATGAGCAATCAATCAACACATCGGTTTCTAACTTAATAATCTTATTGGTATCTTCTGTTACTAGAGATACGCAATTTTCATCAGCTGTATACCATGCTCTACTACTATTTGTATTTTCAACCCATAATATGCTAAAAAATAGAGTAAAATACATATTTTTAAACATTTTATAATTCTATATCACAGTAGTTCCCAAACTATACAATGTAATAAAAAATAATTTTACAATACAAAAGTATTATTTGAAGGGTCTGTAAGAATAATGGGCTATGTTGCCATTTGTAAATTTTTATCTGATTTTTAATTATAAGATTACTACATAGTATGCTATTTTGCAAAAAAAGGTAAAATCCAAAAAATTCTTACATATCACTTTTTTGGATTACATTTTTTTTTTGCGTAAAAATGTGCTGTGAAGACAAGTAATTATATTAATAGATTTAGAATTTTTTTTTTTTTATGAATATTTACATAGTATGTTATTTTTGCCAACCCTTACATTGATTTTATTTAATAAATACAAAATAATAATATCATTTCACAGCAAGTGTGATTAAATATTACTATTTTATGGAAGCCTTGAATTAAGAAAAGTTTGAGAACCACTGTAAAATTTTACTAAGATACCATACCTAGGTAAATCATCGTTATTTTCTAGTGGCTCAATTTTAATGTTATCCATATTAATAAACCTAAAAATTAAAAGTAAATAATTTTTATGAAATATTGATATCCACATTTTAGCAAAAGCTTAAATAATATCAAAGTTGTTAAAAATATAAAAATTATTTTTTGAGTGAGTGTGATCATTTTTAAATATACTGAAATTAAATTTCAATGATTCCAAGTTCTCAAAAATATTTTATAACTAATTAATAATTAAAGTTTACAATTTGTACCACATTTAAAAATCTAAGATCAATAAATACAGTACTGTTTAGAATTTTTTTCTGCATCTTAACTCAAATTTTTCATCAATAAAATTCTTAAATTAAAGGAGGAAACGCTCAATTCATAGCTTACAAAACATATACTTTGACAGTATGTAAGAATGAATATTATTTTTAGTTGTATTTTAAAAGAATTTATTTAACATCTAAATTGTAGTAACATAATATTTCATTACGAGAGTCATACATTTTTTTTTAATAATTAAATCCCTCGATTGCTTAATTATTAATGTTTATTTATATAGATGTATAGGTACATTTTATTTTACAATATTAATTAAATGTTAAACAATATTTGAGAAATTTTTTTGGCATTGTTGCTTTAACCTAGGGTACCTTCCAATTTTTGAAACTTTGATATTGTTGTTGCTTATATATTGGTTATCAAAATTGAAATATACATAGAATTTAAATTTAATCGGTTAATTAATAAATAAACAAGAAGATTGCGATGGTCATACAGACTATGATTGTTTATAAACTAAAATTACTAACAATACCATAGTTAAAATTTTGTTAAAACTTTTCTTATAAAATTAGATGTAAAAAGAATAGAGTACCTTGTGAGAACTCCTGTCAATTAGAGTAAATAGTTAAGTAAGATACTTGGAGTTAAGACACAAAATTCATAATTGATCATTTAAATAAAAATCACATCAGTGATATAATAGCGTAAAACATTATTGTGCAATTTTAAATTTAATGTTAATTATTAGTTTACTATAAACGTTTTGTTAGCAAAAAAAAAAGAAATAATCAAATTTGAAAACACTATAGTCCATAATTTAACATGTTCAGATACTTAAAAATCAAGCAAATTATTCATTTTTTAAACACAAATGTTCAACTTCAATCGAAATGGTAGGCTTAAATTCCATTGATAAACGCCGCAACATAGTTTATACTTCATGTCTACAAGCAAATAATATTTCCTGAGCATAAGATTCTGTCGCCATTTTTTAAAATTGATAACGCACATATCTGATACGCGTATAATTCACATTATAGCACCATAAATTTGATCGTTGTGATTTTTAAATTATTCCTAACGACAATATCGTCTATTAAACCGCAGTAGGTATTCTCATAATTTGAAAAAATGAGATTTTTATCAATATTGATAAAAGATGTTCTGAATATTTTTTTTTCTTTATTTTTTTTTTTTAAAAACTTAGTTCTACTGGTAGTTATGAAAATAAAATCACCTCATTTATTAAAGCGTAAATAATTCAAATTAATATTTGATTATATTAAAGACCTAGAAAAATTGAGATGTATAGTGGCCATTATCATTATAATCGTACTATTGCAGAATAAAATATGATATTCTGTTATGAATTGATAAAATTAAAACGGTTTGTATCGCTAAAAAGCAGTGGCGTACAAATTTGGCTCCAATTAAAAAACATAGAAGAAACCTTTCCCATTTAGTTAAAATTAAAAAAAACAGTATTTTAGAAAGACTAGTTACATGTGTCTTAATGCAAACGCACGTTTCTTTAACATTGGGGGTTATTTATATATAGAAGACAATTGTGTCTTAATACAATCGGGAAAAGTATTTTTATTAGAGCATGTACCATAAGCTTTAATTAAAGATATGATTGAAGATAGGAATATTTCCGGAACATTTTTGAAAGCCATGTTGAAAAGGTTAACTTTTCATTAAAAATTGCTTTTTTAAAACCCTCTTTGGAGAGTAATTCGGTCAAATTTTCAAAAAAAATTACCTAATGAAAATAAAATACCTAAAGAATATTTAAAACAATGGTGTTGATTCAATCATTTTTAAAAAAATGATTAAAGTTTTAAGTGAAAAATTATAATAAATGTCTACGTTTACAGATTTCAAAAAATTTTAATCCTTTGAAGAATTTTCTCTATTTACTAGAAATGAAAGAAATTTTTTCGATTTTTGAGGGTAGTAGTGTAGGAAATTTTCAGTTATAAGCGATTCTTAATCTTTGACGTGTCGTTAAATAGAATTGGTCTTGGAAGACCTAAAAAAGAATTGATAAACACAAAAAAAAATAAGTTTACCATGATTAAAATAAAAAATATTCATTTACAGCTAAATTATATTTAATTAATAAAGTCACAATATTATTAAAAATTCGTTTATACGTATTTGAGAACAATCATCATCGCTAACACATATATAGTTTGCGTTTTCTAGGTAATATTATTTTATTATCACTTAGATAATTGATAAAATTATTTTCATATTAGATACTAGGCGATAGCCGGCACTTTGAATTATTATTATTTTGATTTCTATGTAATACACTCGCTAACACAGAGCATATAATCATAATATATTTTTTACTATAATTTAAAACTGAATAAAATCTGTAATCTTATAAAAGTTAAATTGAACATTATAAATTCTATGAGATTAACATAAAACATAATTTTTTTTTCAAAAGTTTCACTCTTAGAATCATAAGGAAAAAAATGAACATCACTTTCAGTTTTTGTACGATATCGTCAATATACTTATGTGTTTTGGTAAAAAAAGTTTCATCATAGTTATATTTAAATTTTAAATGAATTTGAAATATTTATAAAACATTTTCTGTAAGTTTACTTTTAAACATAATTTTCTTCATTGTTTCAATATTACAAAAGGGTTCACACAATAAATTTTATTTTTTGAAAAACATGACATGTTGATTCAATTAAAATAAACTATTAAGCGTTGAAACTATATATTTTATTGCAGTTTAAATCTTATTAGTGAATCATATTACAAAAAACAAAATTTAATGTTTCATCTTTGTTTTTTACTTTTTACTTATTGTTACATTAAACTATATTTATTCAGTGAGTATTATTCCTTAAAAATTATTCATTTATTTTTTAATGTTGAGTATTATTTTATACAAATATTAATGAAAAATTATTTTTATTTAAAACTAAGAATGAAAATAGTTTTAAGGAGTTATATCTCAAAAACACAAGCTAAATATAAAATTTTTTGTTTCATTATAAAAATTGACTTAAATTGACAAAAATTCTCTTATTAATTCATAAAAATTGGTTATAAAACAATTTAACATCATATTTCTATTAATTAAAAACAAATATGACATATTGTAAAAACTATTCTTGGATAATTATATTGTAAAACAATGAAGTGATAGTATTTATATATATATATATATCTTAAATATTATAGTTTACTATCAAATTTAATAAAACAATATAAATAAGTGATTCATGAAAGTTTAAAATTGATCATATATACGGTAACATTATTTTTATTAATAGTTTAAATCTATTAGTTTCTTTAAAATTAAAGAAAAATAAGTTTATTATGGATACAAATTTAATAAATTAAGTTTATTGACTTTTAAACATAAATGGGTAACAATTTAAAAACTCAAATACTAAGATAAAAATATTAAATAAAAATTTCCATTTAAACAATTATCACAAAATTATTATTAGCAAAAATTATTTAAAAAAAAAAACATTACTGAAGAAATCCATTATATAGAGACTTCAACCTTCACAAAAGATTCATGTTGTCCATTCAAAACTTGCTGTTATACATAATGACTAATATGTGAATTTGAGCTAGGAGTCAAGTTCATTTGAATTTTTCAAACTTTGTATATTATCTTCTTAATCTAGAGTTAGACCTATGTAACTTGCATTACTTGGTATAAACAATTCAGGAGTATAGAAATACACCGTTTGTCTGCTTTGGGGCGTATCAATAAAGTATACCAAAACTTTTGTTTAATTTTGAATTTAGTTTGAACTTGTAACAAAACTGCCTGAATCATTTAGAGTTTTTGAACTGAAAAATGATAGCCCTGTCATTATCAACAGCTNTGTTTTTGTGAACTGAAAAATGATAGCCCTGTCATTATCAACAGCTAGGCAATAGCTATAAAATAGTTTTTAGACCAAATTTCATTAACTCTGCAGTTAAACTAATTCTTTATGCAGATTTAAATATTGCAGATAGTAGCAAAAAAAAAATATCTTTAATATAATCATAGTTTGATTAAAGTTTAACGAGAATTTAATAGTTTTGAATTTCATTTGTTGTATAAATTATCAAAAAAGCTCTATTAACACACTTAAGTTTTATTACTTGTAATAAAAATTTGATTTTTATGGAGTAATTTTTTTTTTTAATTTTTGTAAGTATTTTTTTACGTATTTTATGAAACATAATTATAAAGTTACTTTTAAAGTCTTGATTCCTCAGCCATTTCTATTTCTTTAAGTCTTAGGAAATTTTTTCTGGACTCAAAGTGATAAATCGCCAAAAATAAAATATTTCCGATATTTATGCTTTGTTTCTCTTAGTAACCGTTTGGGTTACTTAGAATTATCATTTCAATCTGTTTGTTGATACGCATATCGTGGTAGTCACTTTGTAGGTTGGAGAGGTTCTTATCTATTGTATGTTGAGAAGCTGATGCCAACTATGTTACGTCTTAAGCCGGATTCCCACGACTGGTGTACTTGACAAATATACGTCACTTTTGTATACTCTTCAAGTGGTCGGAACTTGTACAAACATTGGTCACTTGTCAGTTTCCCGCAGATTGTCGGTAAATGTAACACAAGTCAGAGTAATTAATAGATTGAAAAATTTATAGTTGTAGTTCACTGATACACATTTGTGTACTTGTCAAGTACTTGACCAATATTTCATTTTAGGGTGACTATCAGTAACATAATTTTTTCTTCCCCGCCCACCTATATTTGTACAATATAGCGATGGTTTATATAGTTAATTAGTTAATTAAATTTAATGGATGGATAAAACTATTTTATAGTATAAATGTTATATATAATAAATTCAATTTATAAATATAATTCAATAGTTCAGGTTGATTATATAATATATTAATTATATAACTTATTAATTTATGAATATTAAATATAAAGTAAATATTATTGGATAGTTTAATATTTTACTAAAATGTTTATTATGTAAAATTATAATAATATAATTATAATTACGTATATGTAAAATTCTGTTTCATTTTTACAAGTAAAAAATTATATACCTTGTTATAATACGATGCTTAGCTGAAACGCTATTAATTTTACTCTTTTGGGGTTTTTTTCTTTAATTTTTAGGGAAACTAGACTCCTCAAATTCGCTCTAATTGCTTTTGTTGGTGGGTACCGAAAACAGGATTAATACATTTTAGAACTGAACACTATTATACAGTAATAGCATTTACTATTTAATAAATCTATACTAGAATTATAAGTGTAAAAACAGTTTTATTTCAAGCTTTGATGGCTATAATTAAATGAAAATGAATTAATCGGGCAATTTTAAACTAAAATATCAAAACTAAAAAATTAGCGATGCTAAAATACTTCAGTTCCAATATTTTATCAAAAGTATATAAATTTATCTAAATTTTTGTTAATATAGTAGAATCTAGAGACTTTTTGTATGTTTAATACCTGGTTGCATAAACATATACAGAACCAATAAGTTAATATAATATAATTAAAAAAATCAAATTGCAGTTCATATATTCCAGAAGCTCCGGAAAAGACTAAAGAGAATAGAACTTTACGACGTAAAAATACTAATAACAAAATACCGCTTCTGAACTCGTCCTCATGATATTAAAAAACATTTATGAGATAAGAGGTACTTATTGTTCTATAAATTCGACCAAGGAATCATGATGGACAATGATAATAAAATAAATATTTATGCAAACTTGAGTATTTTACTATTAACGATAGAATTTTTTTTTCATAATCATTTTATTCCGTTTGTCCCGATATCTTAAGCACACATATAGCGTTGAAATACCCCGGTCTAGACGTCGCTATGAATCCGTTTTCCAATGGAAAACGTATGGAAACGTCATCCAATTGACCAAGAGATACACACGAGTAATCGCTGTTGATATCGATGTTAAAAAATTAGAATTCGCCAAAAAAAACGCAGAGATTTATGGAGTCAGGGACAAAATTAAATGTATACAAGGAGATTTCTTCGAGATTAAAGAAACGTTAAACAAATGTAAGATACGGGTCATAGTGACGTCTCCCCCATGGGGCGGCCCTTCGTATAAAAAACACGAAGTTTACAGTCTCGAGAAAGATATGTGTAACGACTACGAAGGAGGCGGTAGAAAACTCTTGGACCTGCTGAGAAGAATTGCTCCCAACGTAGCACTACACATACTACACATACCTAAAGCTACAGGTCGAAACGAGGTAAATTAATCTAATTTCTATAGGTAAATCACAGTTGTAGTTAATGTTGATCAATTAATTTTCTAATTGATACAATTTGGAAAATTATTCGACCTCAACATGGAAATTCAACACAATTATATCGACGAAAGACACGATTCTATAACTGCGTTTTTCGGCCGATTTGACAACATGAACACGAAATTCTTATCTAATGACAACAAACTTTATACGAACAGAAAACATCTCAAGTATCCAGAATGTGCTGATAACTATTATTGTTAAATTATAATTCAGCCATTTTTTCTAATTATCCACATTGTATTGATAAAGAAAAATTTCCACATTTGTAAATTTAAATATTTATAAACCTATTTAGACATATCACCGACTTTTGAAACTATATGAATACCTTACAACTCTTTTATTTTTGCCACAGCTTGCTGTCGGATGACATGATTTACTGAAAAGTAAAGTTTAAATCATTGTGTTATGATTATGTACATTTAATTATAAAACAAATAGTATTTTTATTGATATTTCTAATATTTTTGTTTTTGTATAAATTAAATTTTTTTTATGTTTAATTTTTTATCTGTTTATAAAACTACTTTAAATTATTCTGAATATATTTTGTCGATTGTAAAAATGTTAATATACTTAAATTGCTAAAATTTCTTTATATATATATTTTATATTATATTCTACATGAATATAGAATATAATATTGAATGCTTCGAGTTATTATTTTACATTTTCATTTGAAAATATTTTACTAATTTTTAATTAATGAATTTTCAATAAGTTGATTTATGTTGGATAAAAGTTATTAAAACATTTTCTAGTGCTTCTAGTGGATGTTAAATAAACCAATGATAATTTATACAAATTAAAAAACATAATTTATTGAAAAATTAAAGACATAATCAATATACATATAATAATTACTTTCATATCACATCATACCTAATTCATATTAATTAGGTATGATTTTTAATTCATATGAATTAAAAAGTTTATTGTTAGAAAATTCAGGTGACATGGCAAACATTTGTTTATATTGCCAAAAGTATATAGAACATCACAGCAGAATTGAATGGGTGTCACGCACGCACTACATGTCGTCGAATGGTAACTGATTGTATAGCTGATGAGTATAGACCAAATGATTACAAAAATTTTGATTTCTATTTCATTTTGTGTGACATGACTAATAATTAAGTAAAACTATTTATAATAAAAATGTTATTATTAACGAACAGCAAATCGTCGTCTCCATAAAAAACCCTTTTTTTTTATTAATATAGTTTATTTTAAGTGAAAAATCTACATCTTTAATTTTAATGGATGGATATAAATTTTGTTTTCATAAAACATTTTAATTTTTTTTTTTGATCTTAGTAATTATGTTATCTCGTGGAACAATGAACTCGTAGATTTAATTAGTGAGAAAGAGATATGGAGGCTGTGGCATCAATGAAAAAGAATAAAACATTAGGAACAGATGAAGTGTTAATTTTTTGAAAATCTTGTGAAGCTATTAAAAGATCAATAAATGTTTTATTTATTTTCGATATTTTAAAATGATAGGTGAATACCTAAGGTATCTAAAAAAAAAATTATGTTTATTTGTAAATTTTAAAAAAGCTATGGTAGTTTTAAGAAAAAAAAGTAAAATTAATACCTTCTCAGCTTCGAATCGAAGCTAAAACTTAATCTGTTTTGTACTAGGTAGTTAGTCCGTAAGACGGCTAGTTGTGCACCGCACTAGAATAACGTTTTACCTTAAGCCTGTTTAAATCGCTAATTATTAAATAGTTAAACTCAATTAAAACAAACAATAAATAACATTAAAAATAATATAAAACTTAGCTGAACAGATGAAGTTGTTGATAGTGATGAGTGGACTGTATGAGATTTTGTGGTAATGGTGTCGAACATTTGAGTATGAAGAGTCAGAGTGTAGATCTGGACACGTAATCTGGATACGTAATAACTTGTACTTGAGCCTACCAGGCGTTTATTCAAATAAATAAATAAAAGTAATGGCAGATGAGAACAGACCGCGGGAATCGAATATGGCAATGAAGATATTTAGTGATGGTCAGGGCCCAATCACTAGTGGCGTGCAAGGGCACGAAAACTTTGAGCACAAGGTTGCAATAAACAAAAAAAAGATTAATGGTCAAACACTTTACCATTCAAGCTAAGACGCTTGTTACAGAAAAGAGTGACACATAAAATAAAAATTGACTGACTGACTTACGACGATGAACTGTAAACGGATGACAATTGACACGGAGGCCATCGATTTGCCGTGCTGGGTGGGCAAGGGAGTGAGTAAAGCAAGACGCTGGAGATCAGTTGCCACACGATATAATATAATCAACGATGTTTGTATCAACTTTGCTAAAGACGTTCTGTACCAAACATAATCTAAGGTTTGTTAAATCTAAGAATAGAATTTTGTATCAATAAATAACATTTTTGTCTTATTTCAATTCTATATTTCATAATATATTTTAATCCAAAAAATGTTTTTTTGAATATCACTATTCAACTACTATTGAACTACTATTGGTTCATTCAATATCAAATAATATATATTTTATAAAATAATAACCAAAATTAAACACAGTTTTTTTATACAAAATTTATTTTGGATTATCACGATATTTCAAATATAATTAATGCTGGAAAAATAAAAAAAAAGTCGAGATATAATATCAATACCGAATCGAAAAATCAATATTATTGACGAACCCTACAAAATAGTACATGATAAAATGATTTTTTCTTGCATTCATAATTATCAATAACGTACAATAAACCATAGATTAATAAAAACTATTCCGGTACCGGGAATCGAACCCGAGCCTCCTGGGTGAAAGCCAGGTATCCTAGCCACTAGACCATACCGGATGATGAATGGGAGAGCATTTTATATAAGTTATGAAGTAATTTAACATTATGGCAATTTTGAAAAAAAAAACATCAAATTTAAAAGAAAAAGTATTCAAATACAAATATTTCTAAAAAGTATTATGAATACTTTCAAATACTTTTTATTTATTTATTCTGAATTTTATCTAGAGTATTAATTTTTTAACTACCCCAATTTAATATTATATCGTGTGTTTAGGAGAATATGTGACAATACACATATTAATCAGAAAATTTGGAATACTGATTCACGAGAATATATAAATTAACAGAAATAGATCAGTTGAAGTTAATAATTCAAATTTTATTACAAATATTACAATAGTATGCGTAGTGTTTAACAATTTTAATATGAAAAAGAGAAGATTATTGCTGCTTATTAATTAATGGTTTGTTTATATATGAGAAATTGGGAAGGAGAGGAGTGGAAATTGGTATACATGCTTATTGAAGATAAATGAAAAAAAACGGTAGCACAGTGGGGTC